ATATAAAATATATATTTCAGATGAAACTATGAAATTTCATCTGATGCAAGACAAAAAAAATAATAATAAAATGAAATTATATTAAAAATTACTAATTAAGATTTGTAATGGTGTGAAACATTTGTTTAGACAAAAATTATAGTTAAATATAAATATTACATTATCTTTTTTCCTCAAAATTTTTTTAAAAATTGTAATTTAAAAAGAATATATTTTATCAAATAATTTTTCTTTTTTGTATAAAATAAAGGTTTTATGAATTTACAAATTGCATTTCTATATTAAAATAAGTAGCAAAAAATCTATCTGACACAAATTTTTACTCAAAAATATAATATTACAAAGAATATATTATAATATTATCATTATTAAATGAAATATTAGAATTTACATATTTATATTATTGATATTGAGATATTTTAATATGCAATATTGAATTTATTTTTTTTTAATGAATGAAGGAAATTAATTATAACAGACATATAAACTCTTTTCATTTAAGTATTTAAATTTTCTAAAAAATCTAATATAAAAATACAATTTATTTAAGCGTTAGATGATATTAACTTAAATATTTTTTAATAATTATTAAATATAAATTGCATTTTTATTTCATAAATAGCTGGAAATTCATATTTCTGATAGATAATTAAAAAAATATAGAATTAATTTTTATATAATGTTTAACAGATTGAATATTATTTTATTATTTATATTATATTATTAATTAAAAAAATATTCATAGTTACTAAAAAATTACTGTGCATATATTTATTATTTAAGCTTAAATTATGTAATTTGTCTAATCATAATAATTAAATATTGATTAATTAATTTGTTTGTTTATAAATATTTAAGAAATAATTAAAAATTATAATTAATCAAATAGTAATTATATCTTATCAAATTATACAGAAACATATATACTAAAAAATATGGAATTAATTTTTATATACTTAAGACTGTATTAATGTAATAGTGCTCTTGTATTATATTAAATATTATATTTAAGAATTATGATTATAAATTTTAATATATTGATTGTATTCTATGTAAGAGAGAGAAATACAGAGAAAATATCTTAATAATACAATGCAAAACATTAGATTATTAGATATATTATATGATAAAATAATGACTTCTAAATAAATTTTTTAAATGTATTTTCTAATAGAAATATAAAAGAATAACAACAATTTAATAAATTATTTTTAAATTTTATTCGACTAATAAAAATATAAAAAATTTTAAATTACACATTTACAAAAAATATATAAAAAAATTAATTTTCAAAAATGTTAAAGTATTTTTTTTATTTTTTATTATTGAAAAATTAAAAATTTGACATGATATATATGTATAAATTGAATATGATGCAAATTATAATATTTAATAATTTAAGAATAAAATATATACCAAAAATGTATGTTCTGCATTAAATTATTGTGATATTCTATATATATTATAGATTTTAATAACAATTTAAATATCTTAAGGCTTAATTGTAGATACAGTTATATAGAATTGTATTTTTGTAAATACAGTTTTAAGTCTCTTTTTTAAAGAGTTAATTACTGAATATAACAGACATTGTAATATTTTTACAAATATTTAATACATAGAATTATTTTATACTAAGAATACTTAATATTTTACGATATAAATATTTTGTTTACATCTATTTCAATGACATATTACAGTATGTTTTTCTTGATTTTGCACAATATAAGATGAAGTACATAATATATCTGAAAACTTCAGAAAAGTTTACCTCTGTATTAAAATTACAATAATAATAAATGCTAATTGAGCTTTTTACTATTGGAATAATATATTATTAAAATAAATCTGTAACATTAGCACCAATATAGTTTTATAGATAAATTGTGAACTTGGGACTATTATAATTAAGTTGAATTCATTATTTTGTTTATACTTTTGAAATATTAAAATTAAAAACACAACTATTGTAAGTTTAATAATGTTTTCAAAATTGCACATTATATAAAATTTCATGAATATGTAATAAAACTTAAGACAACAAATAAACATAAGATACATAAGATAACTAAGATAAAAGTATCCTATTATATAGAAATGAAATTATAGTTTACTTTAAAGGAAATGTAAATATTAAAATCAGAGTAAATTATGGAATGTTTTAAAATACTAGCACAACTCCAATATCAGAATATGAATTTTTTAAAAAATACATATTAATTTTATTATAATTTTATTATAGTTAAATGATACATATTTATTAGTATATTGTATTTGTAATATATAGAAATAGTTTATTGATTGGAAATATTCAAAATTTTGTTTATAAATAAATGTATTGGAGTTATTAGGAAGTTATTTAAAATGTTATTTTCTAAGCATTGATAAACATTATATATCTGTACTACAACTTTATTATATTAATATATATAAAAAACATGAAATTACATAATGTCATATTTTAAGCAAAAGAAAATATTTTTATTATTTGAAAAAAGATTATGAAAGGAAGCTCAAAAATTTATGTACATATTCTATAAATGATATAGTTTAAAAAACTGATATATAAGATATATGTTTTTTTAAAATCACAGTTGATAATATTTCTTCTTTTTATTTGTTTAAACATTGAGCTTTTTGTCGAATAAATTAAATAAGATCAAAAAATGATATTTGATTTCTTTTTCATTTGCAAAACTACAATGTACAACATATAGCAATGTAGGAACATTTACCCATTATATCAGTATTAAAAATTGGTAAATGTAATTTTTTAGCATGATATTCTTCTTAACTGTAACAACAATGTGAAAAGTAACTTTTCTTTTTTTACTAAAACAAATGGTACGAAAAAGTAAAAATAATTTATAATTATTTGAAGCTTTTAATTTTGTGCACCATATGTAAAAAAAATAACTTTTATTAATAATTTTCAAATTATCTGTTCTTATATGTATCTTAATATATTATTATATTAAGTTATCCAAAAGTTCTTTTTATTACTTGCATGCAGTTTTCATGATTAAGATTTGAAAAATACACAGTTTTTATTATAATAGAATGTTCAGTTTTTTTTTTTGGTTTTCTAACACTTATTAAGTATTTTCTCTATTTTCATTTATAAAATTTATTAAATAATATTAGAAAATTATCAAATAACAAATTGATTATATTATACTTTTTATAAATACATTAAATGGAATACATAATAATCAGATGATTCTGTTTAAAAAAAAATTGGTTTTGATGATGATATTAGGATCTACCTTAAATATTTTGCAAATGAGTTAAAATTATTTTGAAAAAATGGAATAATACAAATGACATGGAGATAATACCTGGATACTAGAATAGTTATTTTATATTTAAATTTACTTATATATTACTTATATATAAAATTTTATAAACAATGAAATATTGAATTATTATAAATATATTTCATTTCAATATTGTAGAAAGATAAAATCATAAAAAATCTATATGGTAAAAAGAAAAAAAAACTTTTGAGACAACTTAATATATAATATTATTAACTTAATATTATTATTCATTTCATTTAAATTCAATTTTATCAAATTTTATCAATATTATTGAATTATTATTATAGT